GACGCAGCGCGCATAATTTAAGTTCCGCATTCAGCTCTCTCTCCCTCTCCCTCTTCGACTCGAACGATTCTCGCGCGCCGACTCCGACTCGTAGTTCCGCCGAGCCCGTATTGTGCCGGTGACACTTCGCATCGGAGTATGTTGAAAAAAGAAAACTTGTTAAAAAGACTTGGCGCGGAATAACAAAGTGCGACGCGAGTTATCCGCTGAATATACGTGAATCGCCTAACCCAGCCTAACCTAACCCTAAGCCGTCTCTGTACAGTGAGCCTCGATAACAGCCAGTGACACACCTCGATAATTAAGCGCGTTTACGAAACGACACAAAGTACGACGCTGTCTATGAGGGGTATCTCGCTCGTTGTACAATTATTATTCGTCGCAGCTCGTGTACAGCTTTAATCTAACGAAAATGTTGTCAGTGATAATATTTGCGAGAGAATTCGTCGGAGCAATAACACGATAAGATTTTTGCGTTCTCCGCTTGACATGTCCTTCGCTCTGTGCAAATCACTTTTGAGTTCTGCGTCAACGTACTCCATATTTATCTGTTTTTACGCAAACATGAATTATGACGAACGGTTAGTTGGAAATGACGTCCAGACGCTCGCTGCTCGCGCTGCTAACACACATACAAATCACGTCGATCGCTGAACATCGACGACATATTTTTTCCCTCTCTCTCTCTCTCTCCCATCCCCTCCCCTCTTACTCCCAGCTTATATCTCTCGATTATGAAATGCAGATGAGAACTAATCTTATTGCGCCGTCGACCGTTTACATCATGTAAATGCCATCATTGCAAAAGCGCAGCTGGAACACCGCATATTTCATTACCCGTGAATTTCTAACAAGTAACGACACGTAACTTATTACGATGCTCGTAGTTACGGACAATGCCCGTAATATTTTATTGGTTAAAGACACAAGAGCGCACAATGTCGCGGCAACCATAATTTGCTGCACAAACAGCGAGCAAGCGAGCCAGCCTCGCTGTCGACACGATCCTCAAGTCGTCTATATTGCACACCGATGACTTCACTTAAAACCAGCGTCGGCATCGATCGATGAAAATCTCCTTTGACTAAAATAATCGACACTGAGAATTAATCGTACGCTCTGAGAGAAAAAATATAAATAACGAATAAAAAATACTTATTCGGTGAATCATGTGCTGATGACATATAGCGACAGTGAAAAGAAAATTCTTGGAAGTTTACATCTGCGGAATGTAAAGTTAATTTCTGTGAAATAAACCTTTATCCCACAAATGAATTTTCAAATATTCTTCTCTCGGTGTATTCACTTAGATCTAAACACTTTGATTTAAACCGAATTGATCGCTTTCATGATAAGCTTGAAGGTTTGAATGTACATTTTCTTATTTGAGAGATCTTTTATATAAAAGTAAATATGTTAGTATCTATCTATTTTCTTACATCTGTTTTTCTCTCAATATGTATTATTATTAAATAATTATTAAATTTATCGCAATCGATGAAATTGATCAATCGCATTTGATCAATAATAAATTTTATCAATCGATGAAATGATTTTATACGTGATTTTATCACGATTGCTTAATTGTGATTATTCTAGTCAAAGTAGATTTCAATCGATTTTAATGCCAAGTCTGTGTTTAATAGTCGCTTCCTTCATGCGCACTCTCACGATTTCAGTGAGACAGCCTTAAAGCGACAGCAGCAGCGGAAATCCACGCCAAGATCTCCCATAGAAGATTGACAAGCGCGTTAGCTCGTTAACCGCAAACGATTAGACTTTGTAATTCTCTCGCCTTTGAAAAGCTCGCGTCGATGAAGGGGATAGTACGCAAAAGTTTCGAGCTAGTAATCTCGAAACGGTAACGTTACGCAATTAATCGTAAACATACAGACATCTTTTCTCTTTATTTCTTGACGCGAGAAAGCAATGTCGCTTCAATCAAGAATAAAAGTCATAAGATATTCACGCTCGATGACAGCATGTGAACCCGTTAAAGTCATATTTAAATGATGTTAACGTTATCGCGCTCGTTATACATTTACTTCGTTAAAGTCACATTAGCCTTGCATCCGCGAACGGGGGAGAAGGAAGGAACGTACAGACGTATGAATCAGTGTGATAAATAAGTGTCCTTTGTCGCGACTGGTACCACGGCAAGATCGACGCAGTTGTTGAGTCACCGGCGCTGGAAATATCGTAATTGCTTCGCGGCGTATATACGTACGTTTACGATGTTAGCCAGCGACGACGGCGCCGGAAGAAAACTGTCTTGCAGCGAGGGAGGTACGCGCGCGCGTGCGTTCCTCCGCCGCCTTTAAAGCCGGCGATTTAAGTTCGTGATCGAATTACGCCCGAATTTGCATGCGATACTAACGGCGCCGAGGAAACTCATTTTTCCACTGAGCATCCGACGTCCGCGTGTATAAAATACATACGTCGACTGGCGAATAAATTACGCGGCGTTTCCGCGTCGATTCAAATTGACATCCGACGGTATATCTCGTTTATACAAATAGAACGTTTGTGTTCCCTGCTAAACCTTGCCTTTGACTTGTCTGAACGAAATAGTTACTCTCCAGGAGCCTGCGGAAAATACAGGCTACATGAGAAAGACACACCCCAGCCGTTGATCCTGATTTCATCCCCTTGACACTTTGTGATAATTTGAGTTTAGATGTTCTAGATATAAGAAGCAACAGCCGCAGGCAACACCGGATGAAGCTAGTGTGTGTATGTGTTGAATATAGATATGATAGAATTGGATATATATATATATATATATATATATATATATATATATATATATATATATATATTGAATATATTACGAAGGCTCTCCCGCGTTTGTCAAACGCGTGACAGTTTGTGGAAATACATTTTATCGTATATATTACGGCGTCAGATACCAGCGAACGTTATCTCTTTTCGTAGATTCACCGTGGCTGTGTAAATTTGGAAGTTTATCACGTTGAGCAAACTCACGGTATTGTTACGGTCGCTCCGCAACGAACGGGGGAAAAGAGTAGTGAGTTTGCATATTGAATTGCATAAACAATGTATTAATTGAAAGGGCCAGTGAATGAAAGCGCGTGGTTTAACAATATCTTTGGAAATATTTTAATCTGCGCGCACACGAGGGCTACGCAAATTTTGGCCGGTATGATGGCGGAAAAAACCATTTGTTTTTAAGCTAACAAATATTTGTAGGAATAATAACAAGGGAGTTTAAAGATAAAACGTAACGAAGGCGCCGAAAATATCGTCGAAATGGTACATTTAAAATATTCCGCGAAAAGTATTGTTATCATTTTTCGGCTGAAATCTTCCATTTTTTCCCCCTCCAATTTTTCACCTCGTCACGCCGTCAGCGACACACGCGAGATACGTCAGAAAATAATAATTCATTCTCTTAAGATGAAATGTACTTTCGCAAGAACGTGGCCGTCCTCGAGCATTTGCGCGGCGGATTCTTTCGAAAGCGTTAACGCGAGGCGCGCGCGCGCGCCTCGTCTAGGTATCAAGTGTTCACTCGGACACTTACTCCGCCGAATCAGATCTATTCGTGTGTTAAATTACACGCCACCTGCAGCGGTCGCTTCGCGCGGCTATTGCAGTACGCGTGTTTGTTCGATCCATCCGGCGGCGTTCATCGTCGCTATGTCGAATTGAAAATGTGTACTTTTTATTCGCAGTACCGGTTCGCAGTCATTCGGGGAATGACGAGACATCAATTTACAATAGCGTGACCGGCATATAATACGTCGACTATGTATCATCCGCAGAACGCGCGAGGACAACGGCGCTTCGTCCGATGCGATGAAATATGCGGCGCATAGCTGAAGTTGCGTCTCGTTATGCGGACTCGTTCGATTTTCCCTTCGCGTTGCTATCCGATACGATATATCGACACGTATCGTTTGACCTCCCCGTGTCTCTTGACGACTTAACATTTTGGCAGTATCGACGTGTTGGATACCGATTCTCGATGTGTACGTATTATTGCGGCGTCCCAATTCGACGTGGAATGGAGCGTCCGCTGCGTTCCGGTCAGATACGGCCGCACAGACACCAACACAGACACACGTCGCGTGTAACTGTTTTATACCAACTTGGGCGGACAGAGGGGAGGGAAAATTGATTTCACCGCTTCTGTCGTAAATATGGGCGTAATGAAGCGCGAAACCAGGTCCGAGCGGACGACTGCGTACGGAACAATGGAAAAATGCAATTAATATTTTTATCTCGATTAAATTGATTAAAGCGGCGCAACACTGCTGCGCGCGCGTGTGTGTGTGTGTGTGTGTGTGTGTTAATACCTCATCGATTTATCTAATTATATGTAACTTTACTTAATAATCTGATTTCCTCCTGTGTACTACTTTTTCATTTTTCACTCCCTCTCTATTTCTCTTTCTTTATTTTTCCGCGACGGTCAATTACGCGCTTTTGTCTATCTCAAATATATCGGCCTCGATATATTTCCCCCAATATTGCAATTTTCACGCGGTACTGCATTCGTCCTCGCAACCGGTCCCAAGAAGTAACCTGCGCATTTAATCCGTCGACTGTAGAAAGTGTGTTAAGGTCAAACGATCGACATGCGAGTTACGAGTAAGTCACGGTCTCCGTCAAATGTTACGCGCGCGGACCGAGAACCGGATCAGCTGAAATTACGCCCGAAAATTATGCCAAGTAGCCGACGGCGCATCGCGGCAGTGTATTATCGGCCTCTCACTCGCGCGTTTATCTTTCAACAGAGGCGCGCCCCTGACAAATCCGCTCGCGTAAAAATGCAATTTCACGGCGGCGCGGTGGTGACCCTGCCGTGTCCGTCCGCACCAGGCACCGTTTATGGATCGGTTGGTTGCTATAGCGCGAACATCACGAGTTCTCTCTCTCTCTCTCTCTCTCTCTCTCTCTCTCTCTCTCTCTCTTTTGCTCGCTCTTCCTCCACTTGTGCGCGCTGCACACCCTTTCGCAGAGGTAAGAGTGTTATATCAATGGAGTCGACCGCGAGTAGCCATACGACCAAGTGGCTTTTCGCTCCATCGCGACGGAAATGGCGTGCTGCTCGACCTTGAGAACCGGAAACGCTCGAGAGTCGAGCCCTCGCACGGGCGGCGTAGGCTGACATAAGGGCGACAACGGAGACGGAGGACGGGACGAGCCGACAGCTTCCGCAGCTCTCGGCGCTTGCCGACGAACAAGAGGATATGTCTGAATGGGTGGTGTTTGCTCATGCCGCGGTCGCGGCAGTCAGCTCAACGCCGGCTCGATCCTCGACCGCGTGATCAGCCAGGCGAGCAACGAGGACCAGTGCTTGCTGTACCGGTTGGCAAACTACAAAAAGGGCGGCGAACTAATAGAAGCGTACAACCAAGGAGGTCAACCGGAGGTCGAGAAGCTCATCAGGGAGCAATTCGGCATCCTGCTGTACGCGGACGGCAAGGGTCAGACGATCAACCGCGCCGAGTATCTACGTTGGAAGTTCCGCGACCTGGAGCAAGTCGTGCTACCGATCGAGGCTTCATTGTCGCGCTTCGACCCGTTGGCGCAGTGGCACGACCACGAAGCCTGCTGGCAGATGCAGTACAGGGGTTCATTGGGCGAGACCCTGCTGCACGTGCTCATCATATGCGACACGCGTATGCACACCAGGATAGCGCGCACGTTGCTCAAATGCTTCCCGCGACTTGCCATCGACGTGGTGGAAGGTGAGGAGTATCTCGGCGCGAGTGCCCTTCATCTGGCGATCGCCTACAGCAACAACGAGCTCGTGCAGGACCTGGTCGAAGCGGGCGCGATCATCTCGCAACGGGCTATCGGCAGCTTCTTCCTGCCCAAGGACCAGCAGAGGATGAATCCCGCCAGGAACACCGATTACGAGGGACTCGCCTATCTGGGGGAATATCCGCTCGCGTGGGCCGCATGCTGCACCAACGAGAGTGTTTACAACCTGCTGCTCGATTCCGGCGCGGATCCTGACGAGCAAGATTCTTTCGGGAATATGATTTTGCACATGGTGGTAGTGTGCGACAAATTGGTGCGTATTGCGGTATGACGAGGATCTCACATATCCACGGCAACAAAGGAGGGGAGAGGAGAGAGAGAGAGAGAGACTGCACAGAGAAAACTGCTATAGTCGCTACATTCGCATATTCTATGGTCAGAGAGGGAATTTAAATAAAAATGTAGCGTTCGAAGTTTATATATGTTTATCTATGCAGCTCTCACAATTCTTCTGTGGCACGTAATGTGCACGCATAATGTTGGTATTCCGAAGGAATATCGCTATTTCTCTGTTGTCATATATGTAGAACAAATATTACTGATTAAGAGATCCGTAGGATTTGGTTACGCCATACTGTGTGTGTCTTAAAGCGAAATCAGTAAAAAGACTATTTACTAATTTTCAGTGAAAACACTTCCATTTCATTGCTCCATTTTATATCTCACTGATTTTTATCAATGGTAATAAGATTTTATTACAAAATCCGTAATGTACGAATTCGCTACACGCGAATCCAACTTCTGCGTCATTGTGTGACAAAGAAATTAACGGCTTCCATGAGCCTTGCATGCAATGACACTGTTTGTATTTGCAAAATGCACTCGGTGTAATAAAAACAGTCTCTTAACTCATCATTTCAGTGATATTTTACTGATTGTCATATTTATAACTGAACCACCGGTTATAAGTAAAGCATTTCAGTGAACAAGATTGTACTTTAGAGAATATACATATAGAGTACATCACTGAGAGTATCGCTACACATATCATAAACACATACAAACAGCAAATAGAATCAGTGCGCCACTTCCAGAGAACTATGGTCTCCACAATCTTTTTGTATGCACGGGAGAAAAATAACATTAATATTTCGTTATGACAATCATATTTATGCAAGCGACAGTGTTTTCTCCGTGTGTGAGCGTCGCGTTATCGATTAAGAAGAATTTTCCGTTGGGAATGATCTTTCCTATAATTTTCCAAATAAACGTCGTTTTTTGATAAAAAGGAAACGAAAATAGTTGTCACATCTGGTTGACGCATATATCAAATTTCCGTAATCACTTTTTTACGACTACATGGGAAAAAAACGTTTGAATCTCCTCTTCTTCACGCGGCTTCCGCAGGTCTCTATTTTGTCACAAAGCGATCACGTTATCGGGAACTGGTGCACACGAAACCGTTACGTCTCGTCGACGTAATCCCGAAGCCAAGCAAATCGCCTATACAGGCAACTGTTGTTTGACGTAGGACATGTTCGGTTATGCCCTGCGACATCCCAAGCTTCCCGCTCGCAACGGAATCGTGAATGCCGCAGGCTTGACCCCATTGACACTCGCCTGCCAGCTGGGGCGTGCCGAGGTCTTCCGTGAGATGCTGGAGCTGTCCGCACGGGAGTTTTGGCGTTACAGTAATATCACCTGCTCGGCGTACCCTCTCAATGCCCTCGACACGCTGCTCCCGGACGGCAGAACAAGTACGTCGTAAAGCTAATCGAATTACACCGGGCTATCGTCGGGGAATCGTCATCCACGGTCTGCCGGATTTCGTGCGCCTGTCGAGTGGGCCGCCACTTTATCGCGCGTTCCCTGATTAATTGCGACAAGTCAAGGCCGAGATGTTGCGTAAAAGGACGTAGCGTAGCGTAGCGCGAGACAGAGCTTGGCTTTTTTTTCCTACCTCTCACCTTATGACGTTTCCTTTTCCGTCCCCTTGCTCCTCACTTTTCTTCTTTAGTCCTCAAGAATTTAGTTTGCTCCAGAGACTGTGAGTTGAGCCCCTTTTTGCCCTCTCCCTCTCGCGGCATACTATTCCTCATTACTAAAGAAATCCCCGGTTGTTTCCTTTAAATTCGCGCCATTTTCCTTCTCGATTTCCAATTTCACAAAGTGTATTATTTCTCTTTTGATAATTAGCGTGTAATTTATCGATTTATGTCACTCTTGCGACAAATCCTCCCATTTATCAAGCGCACGTGTCCATTCCTTTCTATGTTATGTACACATCGGAAGAAACTTATGTTGTAGAATATGAAATAAGTCATTGCTCCATAGTCACACTCCCTCTCTCTCTCCACCATATTTTCACATCCTCTCCCACTTTCCCTCCTTCTTCCCGTTTGTCCCTCCACTTTCTCTTGCCACCCCCCTTCCTTCTCTCTCTCTCTCTCCCTTTCTCATCTCTATCGCTCTATCGTCTATCGCTCCCCTATTCTCCTCTCACAGTCCTTTCTCCCTTTCGCCATTCCTCTCTCCTCTCTCTATGCCTCCATTTCCCTCACCTTTCTGTTGTCCTCCCTCCCTCGCTCTCATTCTCCCCCTCTCTCTCCCGTCCTTTCGCTCCGTTCTTCTCCTCTCTCTCTTCCGCCCAATTCCTTTCTCTCCCTCCCTCCTCTCTCTCTCTCTCTCTCTCTCTTCCTCTCGCACTTATCTCTCTTTTGACTCTCTTGCTTTTCAATCTTGAATATTGCAACGTGCTTCAAGTCGGAAACAAGGTATCTCGACGACGACATTTTTGGAATATTCGGTAAATTATTCCGCGCAGTGTATTTTTTTTCTGCCTTATATGCGTGGCTTATGTAAAACTGTCCTCACGGTTTCCGCACACAGACTCACCTCGCGTAAAACGTCGCGGCGAAAAGAAGGTGGGGATAGCGCAAAAATTGCGACGCTAGTGTCGGCGGCAGGAGAAGAGCGAGAAGGGCCAATATAGCGAGAACAAGAAGGGAGACCTTCCCCGTAAAATTGGATACGAGAGTAAAATCGGGGGCAAAATCAGGTTGCGAAGTTGCCGGAAAAAAAGAAAATTTACCAAGTTCTTCTCTCGCGTAGGGCGCAGGCTGACAGTAAACCATACCGACAGCAGCTTTCCCCGGCGTGCAACGCGAATAACATTCTCTGGCAAAAACTCGCTGATACTGGCCGGTTATTGCCGGCGCTCTAGTGTCGTTGTTGCGACGATATTTCCATGTTCTGACGGTAATTTAGAGGCAAAGTCGATTTCTCATTTAATTGGAGCCCAGGCGAGATAAATGAGATCGTTTTAGGAAGCGTGATGCAAATTGCAGCGATATAATTTGAGGTCGATGGTTTATACATGGTCGTACGTTTAATTATGCATACACAGCGGGTTTCGCCGAAAGATTTGTACATTATTAAGCTTCATTAATGTGTTTCCAATTGGTTGGCGCGATGCAAGTTCATTCGCCGCGAAAGTCACAGTCGATTTCAGCGACAATGTCAGCATAAGTAATCGAGAGAGGGTTTAACGGAAGATCATTGCACATAATTTCTTTTTCTTTCTTTTCTTTTCGTTGGTTTAGCGATTGAAACGTAGATGCGCGGTTTCGATTTCGCTCTTAATTTCAAGTTTGAACTTGAGCGAAATCTCACTCAGACTCGACGTGTCCCTAAATTCATATATCCTTGAACATAATCCCAAAGTTTTTGATCCGGATCTTAGATTGATTCGATTTGACGAAGTAACAGATCTCCTCCGGATCCCATGGAAATTTGTCGTCAGCAAGTGCGTGTCCACGGTTGACTAAAACCAACCGTGATACCCACGTAAGAGCGAAGGGGGTGACGCGATTCAGTTTCACCCTCGCGTTTGTCATGTCACCGAAATTCAGCCGCAAGACGTCGTAGGCGGATCGGAGGGAGCGGAAGGAAAGGACTGGGAAAGCTTTCCGCGTTGCCGTTCGCATTTTAAGAGGACCGCCAATCGAACTTGCGTGAAATTCTATCGAAGTTCGTCGGTCGTGGAAAGCGTTGCACGAGAAATGGATGCGACCGTCGTCGTCGTCGTCGTCGTCGTCGTCGTCGTCGGCTCGGCTTTTCCCCGGGTGTTCGCAAAGAGCGCCACGAAGCGATGCGGATGCCTGGAAGCGTGGTGGGTCGTCGCGGGAGATGCAATTACGGGCATTTAACGAAGTTTCGAGATTAGCCGCGGACTCGACGCGAAGCGAAACGGCGCAGCGCGACGCGACGCGACGCGACACGACGCGGCGCGGCGCGGCGCGGCGCGGCGCGGCGTCGGGAGCTCGCGTTTCATTTAGTTTCGGAATCCATTATCCCTTCGATCCTTCCTGGCCGCCGCCCTCGCCCACCACCTATCCCCTCGCGGCATAGGCGCCTCCACTGGGACTCGAGCGTCGACCGATTTCGCGAAGGGTGGCGACGTCGCGACGACAGGGGTGTCGATGGAGGAAAGCAACCGCGGCGGCGAGAAGGGAAGAGAGAGAACGGCGCTATAGTGAGGTGGGCCGAACTTTCGGCACGTCTCTCCTACGGACACGCTTAATTACTCCGAACCAAGGCCAGAGAACGGAGGGTCCAAGTCGGAGGGTTGAGATTGGTAGGTGGTGGCGACGGTGGCGGCGGCTGGCCGAGAGAGCCTCGGTGGCGGCGGTCAAAGGTGGCGGAGCTTTCAGCGGAAAAGCCATTCCAACTCCCCGCTCTCCCCTTCCCGGCGGGGGGGCTTCGCCCCGACGTTTTTCCTGCCTTAATCCATGGCAGTCGCGCCGTGAGCGCGGTACCCCATGCAAAAAGTCACTTTCGCAACTTCCGCTATGATCTTTGCACCGCAAACTGACCAGGCTGTGTAACTCCGGGACTCCGGGAGTTGTGTCGGAGTGTCGGAGAAGCGCGGTGCTTACGCGCGATCAATGTGCCGCTCTGCAATTTTGTAACGCGACTATTCGCGAATTAAAGGGGTATTCTGGTTTGAGAGGTCACAAGAAAAAGTGATATTTCTCCGGAACTTTTGGTAGGGAAACGAAGAAACCGGATGTCAAGCTCTTTGCGTATATCCCAGCAAATCAGCACCGTGTTTATATACCAGTAATATAACATAGATATGTAATGTCAGCACAACCATATGGTTTGTTACATAACATATACGTAACAGTTACATAAAATACTATATGGTTGAGCTGACATTCAAACATCAACTTAGTTAGGTTACTGATACTTGTGGTTTGCTGGGACTCTTCGAGTCTTATTTTAAAGATATATTTTTATTGCTCAAAAACACCTCCTTAATTTGGTCGCGCGCGCGCGCGCAAAGCCATTTTGATGAATGAAATGTACAAAGTGAAAGGCGACCTGTGTCGCGGTTAGTTTCGTATGCCGGACGGCACGTGTCGTACTCTCATGTCGCGTAAATTCGCGGCTAGCAAGATTAATCCGCGAGTAATCGCGTCGCGAGATACGGCGCCGTGTTGGTCGCGCATGTGAACGTCACGGCGCGACCATTTGAGCCGCTTACGCTTATTCTCGGCCGAGGACAGACTCCTGACGACGCGCGATCGTTAAGACGCTCGCCCTCTTTCGACTCGCGCGCTCCTATTTCAGAGTTTTCTTTCACACATAAGCGACGACGCCACATAAGAGGCAGCTCCCGGCAGCTTTCGGGGTCGAGGAGTGGAGGTGATACAGAGTGCGAAATCCGCCCAATATATGAGGGACGAAAATTGCAACTCTACCGCGCAAAATTTTCCGCATTTCTCTATCCGGTTTTAGGAGATCTAAAACTTTGATTTACGTGACTCGAACGAGAGATGTCGGAAAAATATTTACGCAAACGAACACTCGGGATATATTAAAGTATAAATTAGTTTTTACAAAATATGGGAGAAAATACCGTTTGATTTTTAATGGTATTTAATATTGGATAAAATTTCGGTAAAATTTCTAGTCAAGATTAATTTTCAACCTGTTATAAAGCAAATGAGCGTCCACAGATGAATAATTGTCCCACACGGTCGTTGCAAAAACGCACAACACGCGTCGTATTTGTTACAACATTTTCCTCGAATTTTGTCCCAGGAGAGATAACGGTGTCGTGTGAAAGAGAGCAGAAAACGAAATTAATGAAACGATTTTCTTGGCTCACCTTTAACACGTTTGCCGACACGTTTGTGGACGAGCGATATAATTCTATCTATGGAGCGTATATGTATATATCAGCGGATGTGTCGATAACACAGCCATATATAAGGTGTATAAAATTTAATGACAGTTTTGTTTTATCTAAAGTCGCTTTACACAATTTCGTCGCGTCAGTTTATCAAGTATCAATTTCGGCGGAACGTGAAGAAATAAGATTCACAGCGGAGAACATGATAATTTCGTTGCGAGACTTCCTGAAGCTTGACTCGCGCACTTAATTAATGCGTATTTCATTCAATCGACACATTTAATTTCCCATGACCGCCGCGCGAGACCGCGTCAGATCAAATTTTCAACGAAGAAAAATTGCCTTCGAACTCAATGTCACCCGGTAGAGACCAACGCGATTTTAATTATCCGTTGAGCTGTCACAGAGCTCCTTCCTGTTTTATTATTTAACTTCGACACCAGAACGGCTTGCTGACCCGAGAAAAATGTCGAGGTGTGCCAAGCTCTATTTCGAGAACATCCGACACACACATTCGCGATTATTGTTACGGCAATAATAGAAGACCTTAGAGAATAAGCGATAGAAATGGCAAACTCCATAAAAGCGAACCGTCTCACACAGGCGGAAAGTAAATGCGGCGATAAGTTAATTTTACATCACGGCGTTAATTTTATTCCCTGGCGGAGTAAGGCGTAGGCGTGATGACATTTTATCCAGGAGCGAAATCACCTTTTATGGCACGCCTGTGACAGCTAAGCGCAGAGAGTCGCGCGACACATTTTCAATGCTTCAAAGCACCTTCAAATTTCCATATTACTGTCTCGAGCTTATGCGAATTTAAACCGCTCTTGAACTACTCGTCCGTCCCGAAGATACGCCCTGATTAGCTCCACGAACGGTCCTCCGAGATAATTACTGCCGATCGAAGCAAGTGGAGCAGCCAAAGTGGTAGTTCGTTATTTAAGCAAGGTTCAATGTCCGGCCGGGATCGCTGGATAGTCCCGCGTTGAGGAAGCTCGTCGGGGAAAACTATCGCGCGGCGTTCCAAAGTCTATGTTCCAAAGTCAGATATAATTACGAGAGCTGCGGTAACGGACACGCGTTGGTAACTTGGCTGCGGATAGCCGGAGTCTCACCGGTAGATCAGCAGCCGTCATTCAAAATTGAAGACCGGATGATCGAAGGTATCGCATCAGATGGGCGCAACACGTTTTACTGCTCTCGGCCGGCCAAACTACCCTCCAGAATTATAAATATATAAGCGTTCGAAAGCTTTGAGATTCGTATGAATCATGCGGACAAACTCGCCGTTTAGAACTCAGGGTCTAGAATTTCTGAATTCGTCTCAAAATCGGCGCGGGTTCCTCCCAATTTATTAGCTGTATTTTATCTCCCTCGAAAAGTAAAAGAAATAAATGTAAATGAGGTCTCTTAGAAAATTAGCCGTCCGGGTACAATGTTACGTTGAAAAGAAGATCCGAACAAATATTCGATTGTTCACCAACTTTTATCAAAAAGGGAAAATAATCTGTTTGCAGATTTTGTTGCGCTACTAAGTATCATCGGTAAATAACACCTAACTCCGAACATTCTTATAGTGTTCTGACTGAGATTCTATATTTCTATAGTTCTATATTTCTGAACGGAAAAAAAACAGCGATTTTCAACAGAATACGGAGTATGGAAGCGTAAAGTTGACCGGATCTGACAGACCCGGATTATACCGCACATGTGTCCCAAAGAATATGATTTTACGCGGAAGATTAAAATAATATTTGTCTCAAATAGTTGCGTTGCATTCGACACGGTTGAGACGTCTCGAAGCCGAAGAACAATGTTTCTGACGGGTCAAGCTACCGTGTACACCTCCGTCTGAGTCGAGCGGTAATTAAGGACTCCCGAGGATACAATCCTCCAAGTTTCAATTACTTTAGCACTCGCGCCAAGCTGGGCAAAGTGCGACGACAGATGCATGCGATCGATACGGCTGAGTCTCCCGGCGTGCACATAAACGTTGCACTTAATATTTCACGACGTGATTCGGCAGCATGAAAA